CCCTTGCATTCCTCTCTTTGTCTCTTGCTACCTTCATCTTTCCTCTGCTATCCTCCCTCTTATTGCATGTCCTGTCATCCATGATGACAGAACATGCATAAGCCTAGCCCATGAATAATTTTCCTCCTCACCATTGATAACCTCCATAGATTGTTTCTTAACAACAACAACAGTTTCACTTAGCATAATGTCTTCCAGGTTCAACCATGTTGAGGTGTTTCACAGATTCGTCATTATTTTTCAATGTTTTGTAGTATTCCATTGTGCATATGTATCAAAGTTTGTTCATCCATTCTTCTGTTGATGAACATTTAGGCTGTCTCCGTCTTTTTGATATGTCTCTTGTAGACAGCATATTGAAGGATCCTGTTTTCTTATCCATTCTGCTCCTTATGTCTCTTGACTGATATATTTAATCCATTTACATTCAGTGTAATGATCAATAGATCTGAATTGAATATTGTCACTTTTCTGTGTGTTTGTTTTTTTGTGTGTGTTCGTGTGTGATACTGCTGGATTCTTTGTTCCATGTAATTTTCTATGCTGAGTTCATTTTGTTTGTGGGTTTTCTTTTTATTTTCATTTCTGTAGTGTTAATGTTTACTAAATCTTTCTGATTTTCCTCTTTATTATTTTGATGTGCAGGGGTGTTCATTTTCTTTGAGGTCACCTTGTATTTTATTAATTTTCACCCCTTCTTAAAACAGTCTCTATTATCTTGAAATCAAATTGAATTCCTTGCCATTTGCAAATCCTGTATCTACACTATTTCCTCTTTTTGTTTTACAGTTGACTTCATTATAGTTTGATATCTCTGCTTCCCTATTTTCATTGTTGTAGGTATGTTTTACTTTAAATATGTCTCTATCTGGATTGAGTTCTGGGTAGTATTGTCATAGATGGTAATCTCAGATTGTTGTACTTTGGGTTCTTAGTCCAAAGTACACACCTTTAAGCATGTTTTGCAAAGTTGATCTGGTCATTGCAAATTCCTTTAATTTTTGTTTATCAGGAAGTGTACTAATTTTACTGAGGGCAAGCTTTGCTGGGTATGTGATTCTTGGTTTGGCATTTTTTCTTTCAGAGTTTTGTATGTTACCCCATCACATTCTTTTCTACACGGTTTCTGCAGAGAAATCAGAGCTTAGTCTTACTGGTTCTCTTTTGTAGGTAACTTTTAGTTTTTCCTGAGCTGCTCTCAGAATTCTTTCCTTATCTTTGATTTTGGAAAGTTTGATTATGACATGTATTGGTGACTTTTTGTAGGGCATCTATCATGTTGGTGTTCGTTCAGCTTCTTGTATGCTTTTCTTCTCGTCCTTCACGATGTTACAGAAGTTTTGTTTCAACAACTCTTCAACAATTTTCTCCGTGCCTATCTCTTCCTGTTCTGGAATTCTAATCACCCGTAAGTAGTTCCTTTTCATGGTGTCCCACATAACTCTTAGACTGTCTTTGAATTTTTTCATTTTGTTTTTCTATCCTACTAGTTTTGAGAGATTTATCTTCAAGCTCACTAGTTCTAGATTTCATTGTTTTGCATCTACTCCTTTGCCCTCTCAAGGTATTGTCCATTTTGCAGGTTTTGTATCATTTCAAAATTTCCATTTAGTTTGTCCATATGTTTTAATAGTGTTTTCCTAAAATATTCTGAAGTTTTCGTTGTGTTCTCCTTGCTAATTATTTTGAAGGTACCTAATTATTATTTTCCACCACTCGTCTGTCAGTTTGTTGTAATGTGGTGGCTTGTGAGTTGCTGTGATTCTGAAAGCTATGCCATGGGTAATTTAAATACCAGCAGGGTTGGTGGATACGTTTCAGATGAGCTTCCAGACGAAGACAGACTAGGAAGAAGGAGAGGCGAACTACTTCTAAATACTTAGTCATTGAAAACCTTATGAATAGCAGAGAAATGCTGTCAGATATAATGCCAGAAAATGAACCCCTCAGGTTGGAAGGCACTCAAAATGCGACCGGGGAAGAGCTGCCTCCTCAAAGTAGAGCTGACCATGATGATGCAAATGAAGTAAAGCCTGTGGGAGTAAAGCCCATGGGACCTTCGTTTGCTGATAGGGCACAACTCAAAATGAAGAAAAACAGCTGTAACATCCATTAATAATTAGAACATGGAATGTGTGAAGTGTGAATCTAGAAAAGTTGGAAATTGTCAAAAATGAAATGGAGCACATAAACATCAATATCTTAGGCATTAGTGAGCTGAACTGGATTGGTATTGGCCATTTTGAATCTACAACCACATGGTTTACTATGCTGGGAATGACAAATTGAAGAGGAATGGTGTTGCAGTCATTGTCAAAAAGAACATATCCAGATCAGTCATGAGGTACAATGCTGTAAGTGATAGGATAATATTCATGCGCCTACAGGGAAACCCAGTTAATACCACTGTTATTCAAAATTATGCACCAACCACTAAAGCCAGTGAGGATGAAATAGAAAAATTCTACCAACTTCTTCAATCTGAAATCAGT